AGAAAAAGGCATTAAAGGCATCCAGATTGGAAAGGAAGAAATCAAGCTTTCACTATTCGCAGATGATATGATACAATATCTCGAGAATCCTAAATCCTCTACCAAGAAACTCCTAAAAACAATATACCTGTACAGTAAAGTCGCAAGCTATAAAATAATGCCTTAGAGTCCATGGCCTCCCTATATGCAAATAATGAGACAGAGGAAAGTGACAGGAAGAAAACAATACCATTCACAATTGTTCCCCAGAAAATCAAATACCTTGGAATCAGCCTAACTAAAGAGGTAAAGGACGTCTACAATGAAAACTACAAAAGCTACCCATGAAATAAAAGAGGATACGTGGAAATGGAAACATATCCCCTGCTCATGGATAGGAAGAATCAACATTGTCAAAATGACAATACTCCCCAAAGCATTATACAGATTCAATGCGATCTCTATAAGGATACCAATGAAATTCTTCAAAGAAATATATCAAGCACTCCTGAAATTCATATGGAACAACAAACGCCCATGAATAGCTAAAGCAATTCTTGGGGAAAAGACGTGGGGAGGCATTGCCCTTCCCAACCTCAAACTCTACTACGAAGCCGTAATAATTAAAACAGCTTGGAACTGGAACAAAGGCAGGGCCACAGACCAATGGACCAGGGTGGAATATCTGTACATACAACCCCAAATGTATGAACATCTAATCTTTGATAAGGGAGCAAGAAATGTCAAGTGAAACAAGGAAAGCCTCTTCAGCAAATGTTGCTGGCATAACTGGACAACCACATGCAAAAAAAATGGGATTAGACCTCCATCTAAGAGCATGCACAAGTCAGATCAAAATGGATTAAAGATCTCAACATCAGGCCAAAATCCATAAAGCACACTGAAGACATGGTCAGCAAAACCCTCCATGACATTGAGGCTAATGGTATCTACAAAGATGACATTTCACTGACCAATCAAATGGAAACAGAGATAAACAAATGGGAGTATCTTAAACTAAGAAGCCTCTGCACCTCAAAAGATACAGTGACCAGAATACAAAGACAATCTACAGAATGGGAAAGGATATTCACCCAATACCCATCCAATGAGGGATATACAAGGATATCCTTGATATATCAAGGATATACAAAGCACTGGTTGAACTCCCTAAGAAGAAAGCATTCAACCCCATCAAGAAATGGGGTGATGAAATGAACAGAAAGTTTCTCAAAGAAGAAATTAAAATGGCTAAAAGGCACATGAGAAAATGCTCTAAATCACTAATCATCAGGGAGATGCAGATCAAAACTATGAGATATCATCTCACACCATAGAGACTGGCCCACATCCAACAGAACAAAAGCAACTGGCGTTGGCATGGGTCTGGTGAGAGAGGGACCCTCCTTCACTGCTGGTGGGAATGCCGACTGGGTCAGCCCTTTTGGAAAACAGTATGGATGATTCTCAAAAAATTAGAAATTGTGCTTCCATTTGACCCAGCAGTACCACTCCTGGGAGTATATCCCAGAGAGGCAAAATTGTATAATCAAAATGACATCTGCACTTCTATGCTCATTGCAGCACTGTTTGCAATAGCCAGAGTCTGGAAAAAAACTGAATGCCCAAGAACAGATGACTGGTTAAAGAAACTTTGGTACATCTACACAATGGAGTACTATGCAGATGATAGAAAAAATGAAGTCATGAAATTTACATACAAGTGGTACTGCATGGAAAGTCACGAATCACGACCATCCTGTTATTTGTCGATTGCCTCGAGCAGGCCCCAGTAACGTCTCCTTCATCCTACCCTGAGATCATATTCAAGGCTCTTTAGGAGAATGAGACCCATCATTGTTATTGGTATTTGGCATATTGGGTATGCCATGGGGAGTTTACCAGACTCTGCCGTGTGGGCAGGCTACATTTGGTAGCCTGCCAGTTTGTCCAAAGTAGGAATGAGATAATAAGATGTCATAATAAGATGTCACGCGGCCGCAAATGCGGTCGCGCGGTTCCGGGAGCTGATTATTATAGTCTCTGAGTCTTGGCCGTTGATGGGATACATGGAAAGTATCATGCTAAATGAAATGAGTCAGAAAGAGAGGGACAGACATAAAAAGATTGTATTCATTTGGGGAACATAAAGTTACAAAATAGGAGACTAACACCCAAGAATAGTTGAGATAAGTACCAGGAGGTTCACTCCATGGCTTGGAGGCCAGCTGCACATGCTAGTGGAAAAGGCAGCTCAGATATAGAAGGGACACCAAATAATGGGTGTTGGGAGGATCCTCCCAGGTTGGGAGATGCATGCTGAAAGTAGACTATAGAACGAACATGAGTGCCACTCAATGCCTCTTTTGCGAACCTCAGCAGCCATAAGGAGAGAGAGAGAGCAAAAGGGAATGCCCTGCCACGGAAGCGGGGTGGGATAGGGGTGTGGGGGGTGGGAGGGATACTGGGATCATTGGTGGTGGAGAATGGGCACTGGTGGAGGGATGGGTACTCGATCATTGTATAACTGAAACCCGAGCATAAATATTTGTAAGTCTAAAACTGTACCTCATGGTGTTTCACTAATAAAAATTAAACAATAACAAAAAAATAAGAATCCCAGTTATTTTCATGACATAAAGTTATTGAAAATCTAGAAATATCTTTCATGCATAACCACTAAAATTATGGGTGATACTAGATTAGTTATTTAATAGTGTAATAAACACAGTACTAATTTGCAACATAATGATTTATTAGTCTACATAGTTCAGTTTAATTAGTGTTCTTTGTCAATCTCTGTGTTTTGTTGGATGTATTATGAAACTTTATTCTGAGAATAGAAAAGAGGCTTTAACTGATTACCAGAGGAGTTCATGTTCAGAAGCATGCTCTCATGAGAAAATAATTTATTCACTCTCTTCTTTTTTTTCCCTTTATTTTATTTTATTTTTTTTACAGTTGTAAATTTACAATTTTTTGTGCTTTGGTTTCAATTATACAATGATCAGATACCCATCCCTCCACCAGTGCCCATTTTCCACCACCATGGATAATATCCCTCCCACCCCCATCCCCCTATCCCCCCTGTCTCTGTGGCAGGGCAATCCCCTGTGTTCTCTCTCTCCTTTTGGGTGTTGTGATCTGCAAAAGAGGCATTGAGTGGCAAACATGTTCAGTCCATAGTCTACTTTCGACATGCATCTCCCCTCCTGGGAGGATCCTCCAAACATCCTTTATTTGGTGCTCCCTTCTCTATCTGAACTGCCCTTTCCTCTAGGATACCCGGCTGGCCTCTAAGTTATGGAGTAATCCTCCTGGTGCTGATCTCAGCTATTCTTGGGTATTAATCTCATACTTTGTTACTTCATATCCCCCAGATGAATGCAATCTTTCTATGTCTATCCCTCTCTTTCTGACTCATTTCGCTTAGCAGGATACTTTCCATATTGTACCACTTGTATGTAAATTTCATGACTTCATCTTTTCTAACAGCTACATAGTACTCCATTGTGTAGATGTACCAAAGTTTCTTTAACCAGTCATCTGTTCTTGGGCATTCAGGTTTCTTCCAGTTTCTGGCTATTGTAAAGTATTCACTCTCTTCTTTAGTAGATATGTGTTGGGACAAAATTTCAGCCATTATCTGGGAAAAACAATAAGATCTCAAGAGCACTAAATTTCATGGTCTAGTAAATAAAACCATTACATATCTGTGTAAGAGATGTATAAGGTGATATTTAAAACTAAAATAAGGTAAAGAATATTGGTTTAAATGGGTATTTGAAAATTGCAGCTTTTTTTGAAAGTTGCAACATCTTGAGAATAAATAATAACTGAGAATAAGTAAATTGGGCAGATAATAGGGAAGGTATTACAGAGTGAGGAGTTTTTACATGAAAATATCCAGAGAGCAAGATTCAAAATTCTTAAGGGGCACAATCATATGACTAGCATGAGTTGATCATAACAAGGGTACTGAGAAAAAGGCTAGAGTGGGAGGAGGGAGGTGATTGGTGGAGATCTTATATATCAGAAGAATTTTGAGTCAGTGGAGCAAGAATAATTTTTTTCTAACTTCAAAGTAGAATTTCAAGAAAAGGATACTGTAGTCAAATCTCTGATTTTGAGCATTTAGTAGGATGACTGTGTGAAAAGTGCACAGGAAGAGCAAGTGTGGAGGCAGCACACTGACTCAGAAGCTACTGTCACCGCCATCATGATCTGGATTTGACTTAACACAGGGGAAAATAAACTCAAGAGATTTTAACTAGTGCCAAGACTTGGAGATTTATAGGATATATGACAGAGGATAGTCTAAGAAAACTGCCAGATAACCCTAGCACAGAAGGCTGTAAGATTAGCATTTGTTGAAATAAAGAATGTAATGGGGAACAGCTGATAAATTTGGAATTAGATTCAGATACATTTGGATTTCTATGGAACAATCAAAGATTTAAAGCTCAGGCCAAAGAAGAGGAGATGCATTTGGTAATATTTCATAGTTCTAGTAGGGATGAAATGTTCTTATTCAAATGGTCCTACTTTATGCCATTATTAATTCATAGGTTTGGCCCATTATTATTAATGGTCCTTCTTTAGGCCATCTGAATAAGGACTTTTATTCAAATGGTCTTTATTCAGGGGCTACTAAGACGCAATCCCCCTCCCCACCTCTACCCCGACTGCTCTATACCCTAGGGAGAAACGTGTATATTCCAGATACTTAAGATAGAGGTCACAGGCTGTTAATGTTAATCTTTTGTTAATGTTAATGCTAATGTTAAGCTTTCTGGTTAAATGTCCAGAGGTAAACCCAACTTGCTTTTAACAAGCAGTTGATGAGAATCACTTTAGTTGAAAAATGAAAATACCCCCTTCTTTGCTTATGATTAGTGTTGTTGTGCCAGTCTAAATTATGTGAGATACCCATGCGACACTCCTAAGCAAAACATAGTTTCTCTGTGAATGGACTGAAATGTGCAGAAGAATGTACAACTCTGCCCTTGCTTTACTTGCAGGTTCAGCGGTATGAGGCAGCATCTACCATTTATGGACCACATACTCTATCTGCTTACATCCAGCAATTCAGAATCCTTGCCAAGGCCATTGCTACGGTAACAAAAATCTGTGTGTTTGCCCAGGGGTAGAAGGCAGAAGGAAGCAAAATAAAATGTTAGTTTGGGGGAAAATTTTTATTATAAAAATTGGTATTACAAAAATATGAAACAGTAAATTCAGATTTGGAAAATATATTTAGGTAGAGGCAACTTCCTTTCATGAATCTTACATTATCCTTATGATAATCATGTAAAGTTTGATTTCTCCCTATTTTGCAGGAGGTAAGTATATTTGGAGATAATAAATTACTGTAACTATGAGTGGGAGTTAAGTACTTTTGAATCCTGTCCAGATTCTCTCCAATCACTTCAAAAACTAATCTTGTGATCAATTTTGAGTTCCTATCTGATTAAAGCATTTTGGAAATTGGTTTGCATTCTCAATCAGCAGATCCTACAATAATAGTTATTGTCATGCCTTTCCTTTTCTGGTCGTTCAAATGTAAAAATACTTATCATATTTAAGTGGAGGCTTTAATAAAGTATAACAGTAACTTGGAATATACATATATATTATCTATCTTAAATAATTGTACTTTAAAATATACACATTGGCATAGTTACTTTTGAAGTTTCATTGTGATTTCTGAATTTTAGTCAATGATTAGGACATATAACTTAAAATATCAGAAAGGGACTTTGTTTTTAGCTTTTTTTTTCTTTTTGGTTCTCGTCAAATGGTGCTCAGGGGTTACTCCTGGCTTTACACTCAGGAATCACTCCTGGATTTGCTCAGGGGACCACATGGGATGCCGGTGATTGAATCCAGGTTGACCGTGAGCAAGGCAAAGCCCTCCCGCTGTACTATCACTCCGGCCCTCATAAGAAACTTTATATAATAACATATATGGGCCCCAATAAAGGCTAAAAAATAATTAGGGTACTGCAAAGCCAAATATTTCTTTGAAAGAGCTCTTTCAGAAAAAAGAGCTTGGAGTAAATCAAAGCTTGTTGTTTCTGTAGATTAAAACATTTGAATATGGGCAATTTTATATGTTTATGTCTAATTTAGTTGTTGAATGTGTTAAGTTTTTGTTAATGTATTTAATTATAAAATATTTAAATTACATGGTTATTATTTTAACTTAAAATTTCTCCCAATTTTATGTCTGATAATTATTAAAAGTAGAATTAAAATTTTTCTTATCATAAAAGCTGTAAATAGTTGTTGGATCTATAGATTGTACAGAAAAAAATATAAACCTGAATCTATCCCTAGAGATGATTACTTTTAAATTTCATTGAAATCTAAGGTCTATAAATTTTTCCATTAAAAATAACCTTCATGCTTTATAGCAATATTTAGGAAGAAAACATCAATTTTGTTGTTTATTTTATATTTGCTTCAGGGTGAGTGTTATGGCTTTCTGTCTAAGATTACCTCCATGATATTAAAAAGAATCTTTTGTTTTAAAATATCCATACACATTTTCTCATTTGCATACTGGGAATGAAAACAAGTTATATGGTCCTTGTAAATATTAAATATATAAAGTGAGGATAAAAATATTTTTTATATATTCAAAAGGGATATTTATAATTTCATACAAATATTTTAATGACATTATAGAAGGTGAAAAACTTCATGGGAAACATCGATAAAACCAAATAGAATATAAATATAGGATAATCTTAAACTTCAAAGTATATTCTCTTATCTAATTATCATAGAGAAGGATCGAGTAATAAGCTCTAGGATAAGAGGGCTCAACGTTTTAAAAAACCCATTACAGGGGCCGGAGCGATAGCACAGCGGGGAGGGCGTTTGCCTTGAACGCGACCGACCTGGGTTCGATCCCAGGCATCCCATATGGTCCCCCAAGCACCGCCAGGAGTAATTCCTGAGTGCAGAGCCAGGAGTGACCCCTGAGCATTGCTGGGTGTGACCCAAAAAGCAAAAAAAAAAAAAAAACCCATTACAACGTCATTTTGTAAACAGTACCATGTATTATCTCCTTGTCTAAAGTTTACACAATTAGTTATATATTTTCTAGTTAACAAAACTGTGTAGTGTGTTTCCAAGCTCGCTTGTTGTAGGGGAATGAAAGTGTTGCCTGTGACCAAAATATTCTTTTACAATGAAAGTTCAAACTTTGGTCAAATAGGCTCTAATTTAGCAAGCTTCACCTCGCATTTTGCTAAAGATTTGTTTGTTTGCTTGCTCTTTGGGTCCCACCCAGTGATGCTTAGGGGTTACTCCTAGCTGTGTACTCAGGAATTACTCCTAGCAGTGCTTGGAGGACCATATCGGATGCAGAGGATCCAACCCGGTGGGCCCTGTGGAAGGAAAACGCCCTATCCTCTGTAGCGTCACTCCAACTCCCACGTTTTGCTAATGTTTTAAGCTTTTAGAGAGAGGGGGTGTGGGGGTGGGGGGGGAGAGAGAGAGAGAGAGAGAGAGGAGAGAGAGAGTTTACTGCGAGAAAGTTTTTAACACGTGTGTTTCTTAAGAAATGCTTTCTTTTCTAGGACACAGTAGCTGACTTGAGCAGTGGTCCAGAGCCTCCATTTTTCAAGCAACTGATAACCCCATTAGTTCCTAATGTTAATGACAATGCACCAATAGGCAAAAATTTTGGGGATGTCCTGCAGTCAACAAAATCTCAATATAGAGTGGTAAGACTCACAACGATAACCTGGAATCATTCAGAAGTCTGTGTAGGGAATTGGAGCATTTTGTGTAGTACCACCACCTGCCTCTAATCATGCCATGGAACAACTGGTAGCACTGAAAATTTTCACAATTGTTTCTGTCTCTGTAGAGGATTTGCAAACTTGGGACTGGAAAATATTTTTCAGTCATTAGCTATGTAAAAGTTAATTTCTAGGCCTGGAATTTCTAGTACAGTTGCAGAGGGCACTTTCCTGGCACGCTGCCAACTTGGATTTGATCCCTGGCATCCCATATGGTGCCCCGATCACATCATCAGGAGTGATCCTGAGTGCAGAATCAGGAGTACCCACTGTGCATCTTTGGGTGTGGCCCTAAAACAAAAATGAGTGAATTTCTAAAATTTAAATTATTTTCTTTTTCCTTCCCTCAAATAAATGATCATAGAATTTAGAAGGCTCTTAGAAAGCACATAGAAATGGAGTGCATAGGAATAAAGTTCATAGAAATGAAGCAGAATTTGTGGTGCTACCATTTTATATCAACCTTATCCTGCAACTTTGCTAAATCATTTCTTCTAACAAACTTTTTGGAGTTATGTAGATTCTCTAGAACTTTCTATGTGCAGTTTTAATTTTTCTGTTATCTTTGAGGAAGAGCTTTATTGCATATTTGGTTGAGAAATTTCTTATTTATTTTTTAATTTTGTTTTGCTTTTGAGTTCACACTCAGCTGTGGCTTACACTCAGAGATCACTCTTGTTTGGGTCAGGGGACCATATGTTGTCCTGAGGGTCAAACCTGTATGTTGTGTGCATGGCATGAGCCCTACCCTCTCTCTCCAATCTGATTGAGAAGTTGATCACTTCTACATGGCACTAGAAGTAATTTTCTGTGATAACCACTTATCAGACATACACAGACTTACAGGTTTAAAAAGATGAATGAATTTAGCTATATTTTTCTATATAATAATTTTGCTATAAAATGTAATTTTGCTATATAAATAGTAGTTTGAATTCCAGCTTCGCTTTTCCACCTCAGAGTATCTTTTGTTCCTTTGTTCCTTTAAAATTTAATTAGGACCAGAGAGATAGTAAGGGAGGTAGCACACTCGCTTTGCTTGCTGTTCATGTGGTTTGATTCCATGAGGCATATGGTTCTCTGAGAACTTCCAGGGGTCACTCCTGAGAACAGAGCTAGGAATAGTCCCCTAGCACTGCTGGGTGTGCCTCCCCACCCCATTCCAGGCCCACCAAAAATTTGATCATTGAAAACAACAACAAAAACTTAGACTATAGTAGTAAAGTCTCCAAATTTGATTACAGAAACCAACAATGAAAGACTACGTTAGTAAAGTTTCCATTGAAATGTGTGACTACTGGTAGTTTTGTTCAGTTTTTCAAAAATTTTTTTTTTTGCTTTTTGGGTCACACCTGGCGATGCACAGGGGTTACTCCTGGCTCTGCACTCAGGAGTCACTCCTGATGGTGCTCAGGGAACCATATGGGATGCTGGGAATCGAACCCGGGTTGGCCATGTGCAAGGCAAATGCCCTACCCACTGTGCTATCTCTCCAGCCCCAGTTTTTCAAATTTTGATAAAAAATTATTTGGTTCAAAAGGTTTGGTTCATTATTTCATAATTTAGCATCCAGCAAACATTCAGCAGATTCTGTGCTTGGTGTTTTTGCTTTGGGGGCACACCCTGTGGTGCCCAGGGTTTATTCCTGGCTATGTGCTCAGGTAATGCACCTGGGTGCTCTGGGGACCACATGAGATGACAGGGATTAAACCCAGGTCAACTGCATACAAGGAATGTCTAGTAGTTTTAATAACTAATCATTTTTGAATTTTGGGTTGCTATGCAAGTTACCAAAAGGATTGTTTTGGATGGTTTTGCTTTAGATATGTGGTTGACTGGGGAAAGGCCATTTTTTCCCCCTCACTCTGTCTTGTCAAATCACCTATCATATACCACTATTTTTTGAATTGGCATTTTGTCTTTGTAATATGATTGCTTATTATACTAAGAGAAGTATTAATAAATAGGGAATTTTGGATATAGAAAAAATAAGAAAAACTCAGTGATTAGAACTGGAGTGATAGCACAGCGGTAGAGCGTTTGCCTTGCATGCAGCCAACAGGGCCAACCTGAGTTCTATTCCTCCACTCCTCTCGGAGAGCCCGGCAAGCTACCGAGAGGATCTCGCCCGCACGGCAGAGCCTGGCAAGCTACCCGTGATGTATTCGATATGCCAAACACTTACCAACAAAGTTTCCAATGGAGACATTACTGGGCCCGCTCAAGCAAATTGATGAACAACAAGAGGACAGTGACAGTGGCTAATTAGATACAAGATGTAGTTGGATGGTTGGAACATTTTGCTCAAAGTTACAATAACTAGTTTGGTATTTTCACTGTTGAAATCAATAAAGGAATAAAAACTTGTGAAGACCATTAAAGGGAGAATAAATAATATAGTAAATAGTTAAACAGGACATCTCTATTGAAATAGTCATCACTGACTTTCAATCATGACAAATTTTTATTAAAAAATTTTTTAATGTGGACTAGAACTTGGAAAACAAGTCGAAACTTATTGTTTCCACTGACACACAGAAAAAATTTGGGTGTATATTCTAGAAGGTTTAAAGAATAACAACAAATAGGAATTTTGTTTTCTATTACCCAACGATCACTATTTTCATGGTCTGATGTCGATTATCTTTAAAACCATTATATAATATTATATAATACAGATATTTTTAGGTTTTAAAAGTTGTTTCAGGTTGAAAGATAAACACACAGTTTTATCACTTTTTAAAATTTGGGACATTTATATGTGGGTAAGAAAATTTGATTTGCTTCATTCTGTCTCTTATGTGTGTATCGCAGGGAGGTCAGAGAAAATATTAAATAGCTGAAGAATAAATTTAAATGTACTCTTTCTAGTATGCACTATAGTTCTATGCTTTTTATCTGAATCAGATATACATAAGATTAGCACTGTAGCACTGTCCTCCCACTGTTCATCAATCTGCTTGAGCGGGCACCAGTAATGTCTCCATTGTGAGACTTGTTACTGTTTTTGACATATCAAAGACGCCATAGGTAGCTTGCCAGGCTTTGCCGTGTGGGCGAGATATTCTTGATAGCTTGCCGGGCTCTCCGAGAGGGATGAAGCATTCAGACCTGGGTCGGCTGTGTGCAAGGCAAACACCCTACCTGCTGTGCTATCGCTCCAGCCCTACATAAGGTTATTGGCGCAAAATTCTGGAGCAATCCCGTGGTTTCATGTTTCTATGATCATTGTTGCAGAGCATGTTCTCTAGTGTTCTTAGAAGATGACTTATTTGGTTAATATTGCATGTATATATATGTGCATACATATATATCTATATATAGCTAAGATCATAACCTGTTTAATAAATAATGCCTCAAGTATGAGCATGGGAAAGATTTATTGTAACTCATAAAATAAATATTTGTTTTTAGGGAGAAATTGCTGAAGTTACCTTTGTAGGTGCCAACCCAAAGAATTCTGCAGAAAATCGAGTAAGCTTTAATGATTCTTTTTTACAAACTTAAGAAAAAAAATTTTTCTAACTTTTTTATTGCATTTCTGTGAGATAGACCCTTGCAAAGCTTTTCCTTATTGGGTTTCAGTTATGCAGGATTCCAACACCCATCCTTCCACAAGTGTACATTTCCCAGCACCAGTGTCCTCAGGTTCTCCTTCTCCTCCTCCTCCTCCTCCTGCCTCCTCCTCCAACCTCTTCCTCCTGCCTCCCCCTCCCCTTTTTTCCCCTCCCCTATCCCCCTCTTCTCTCTCCTTTTAGGCATTGTGATTTGCAATATTGATATTGAAAGGTTACCAAGAATATATCTTTGCCTACTTTTAACCCTCAGATCTTGTCCAGTGTGATCATTCCCTGCTATTATTGTCATACTTGTCTCTTCTCTATCTTATCTACCCTCAGCCCCCCCCCACACTTGTGGTTAGTTCCAACCATTGACCAGTCCTCCTACCCCTTGTTTTCTCTGGCCATGGATATTAATCTTCTAATATATGTAATATATTTTATACACCACAAATAAATGCAGTCATTCTATATCTGTCCCTCTCCTTCTGACTCATTTTACTCAGCATGATACTCTCCATGTCCATTCATTTATAGGAAAATTTTGTGACTTCTTTTTCCCCAAGAGTTACGTAGTATTCCATTGTGTAAATGTGCCATAGCTTCTCTATCCATTCATCTGTTCTCGGGCACTCGGGTTGTTTCCAGATTCTGGCTATGGTGAATAGTGCTGCAATGAATCGAGGAGTGCAGATGGTGTTTCTGCTGTGTGTTTTTGGCCCTCAGGGTATATTCCCAGAAGTGGGATTCCTGGGTCAAATGGGAGTTCAATTTAAGATAACTTTTAAATATTAATCCTCTAAGCTAACTACACAAGGTTAAAAGTTTCCAATATCCTACATTTTTTTTAAAGACGTGATAAATTTTTTGTTGGGCACAGTATGAAATAGTCTGGAAAATGATACTCAGGAAATATTTAACCTAGGAGCATGTATAGCACAACAATAAAAATTGTATTATTTCTTGAGAATTTGACACAATTTGACACAATTCCAGTTTTGTATTTAAATTTTAAAACTCTACTATATTTGGTGGGCTGGAGCGATAGCACAGCGGTAGGGCGTTCGCCTTACAAGCGGCCAACATGGCCGACCCGAGTTCGATTCCTCCGCCCCTCTCGGAGAGCCCGGCAAGCTACCGAGAGTATTCGATATGCCAAACACAGTAACAACAAAGTCTCCAATGGAGACGTTACTGGGCCCGCTCGAGCAAATCGACGATCAACGGGAGGGCCTTTACCTTTACCTTTACTATATTTGGTAAAATAATGAAAGAACCTAGTCAACTGTGTCTTTGATTTTTTTCTCTTCTGGCTGTGATGCCTCTAATGTGAAATCATCATGGATAGATGTCCATGTGCTTCCTTTATTCTGCACTGGCTATTTTCCTACTCATCACTACTGGCACTAGTAGGTATTTGACTAGTAGGGTATTTATTTACATTTTGAAAAGGACCCCAAGAAATAAATACAAGTTTAGTACACAAATGATGAAAAACCACATCAGATAGAATATGAAGGTACCCCATTCCACAAACTTTATACAGTTCTTCAAGGTTAACAGTTTGTTCTGGACATATAATTTCATATCTTTTCATTTTTATCACATAGGTATATTGATATATTAACATATATGCATATGCAATATGTTAAAAAATAACTAATTTTACTCTTCTGTAAATCCATTAGAATGTTGATATAACTATATAAATAACAACTGGCCATATTCTAGTAGTAAAAATTTAAACAATAAGCTAATATGCATAGAAAAATAAAAGTGAGCATATCAAAGTGATTTTCAAGGTCTAAAATTATTTTACTGCAACTAAGGAATTATCATGCCTTTGGTGAGTTACCCTTTCCAGTGGTTATATTCACTTATATTCCATGCTACTTTCCTTCCAAATGAACACTCCTATTTCTGATCATTAAAAGATCATTACTGTTGTGATAATAATTGTAGTAATATGACATAATCAAATATGACACTGGGGAAAATGTTCTTCCTGGATAATAAACATGCACCTGTTTGAAATAATTTCTCTTGGCACTGAAGCTAAGCCAGAATATTTATATGTTTATAATATATTTTTCTGATGAAATCAGTCTTTGAGCAAAATGGCAGGATGCATTGTCATTTATTATCCTTAGCGTGGAGAAATGCTATCATCATTGTCATCATGGAGAGGAAAAACAAAATTCTTAAAGCCCTATAATTAGAGTAGTTTCTCTCATTAAAATTTTTCTAATATTCATTGTTATTAGTAATCATCTTTTCATCAGAACTATTTCTTGCATACCCAATATTTGCTTGCTCTGGGCCAAGTGCTGTATATGCATTATCACATGAGTCCAATTTACTCCTTACTAATACACAATGAGTTAAGTTTTAGTATTTCTATTTTTGGATAGATAAATTGATCCCTCAGGAGATTAACTTATTATGCATCTGGGTGTGATTACTATCAGGAGGTAGGGAAAGGAGAAGCATATAGTACATATTTTTCAGCTTTGTCTCATTCTATAATCTGAGTTCTAGATCTATAAATTGGGGGTTCATACCTTCAAATTCTAGAATCTAAAGATTTTTATGGAAAATTGGACATTTAGGGTTTTTGTATCTTTTTTTCCCTTTTCAAGGGTGGGGGTGAGGTAGGAGCATGTATCCTGCAGTACTCAGGGATTACTGGTGACAGTGCTCCCTGGTGGGGCTAGGGGACCATATACAGTGCTGGGCGGGGAGAGGGGGCATCCAACAGTGTTTGGCCTCATGAAAGGAAAACACCATCGTTACTTTACTATCTATCTACCTCCAGCCTGGCCTTTGTATCTTTTAAAATGTTGCATTATTCAAATACATTATTTATTTGAAGTTAAATAATAAATTTATTATTTTATTAAAAGCCTCTATCCCTCTCAGTGAGGCAAGCTACTGAGAGTGTTCTGCCCACACGGCAGAGCCTGGCAAGCTATCCGTGGTGTATTTGATATGCCCAAACCAGTAAATACAATGGGTCTCATTCCCCTGACCCTGAAAGAGCCCCCAATATGGCAGCGTTAAGAAGGATAAGGAAGGAGAGGCTGATAAAATCTCAGGGCCGACCTAGGCCGCCAAAACAAAGGACAAAAATGACTGTCTGCACTTTCAATGCACTTACACTGGCATCGGATGCATCCATCAAGGACTTGATGGTGCAAGCGTGAAAGATCAAGTGCGACCAAGACTAGAAGGCATCAATCACATCATGCCATTTTCGACACGGAGGAAGAACTGTTCCTTGGACCATGCAACAAAAGAGGAATCAGAGGCCTTGTCAACATGAACTTGGCCATAAACATTGATTCATTCTAATGCCTAACAAACCAAATTGGATGATTACACTTGAATAGATGTGGCTCATTGCCAGCAGTTTCTATCTTCGTTGTCTACGCATCAACATTCAATTATGATGAAGAAGAAATTGAGAAGTTCCACATGGAGCTGGAGAAGTTCTATAAAGAAGACCACACCTTCTACAAGATCATTGTCAGTGATTTTAATGCCAAGATAGAACCGAGAAAATCAGCCAAATAACTTCACATCGGGACCCATGGCCTAGAATGGAATGAACAGGGTGAGAGACTTTCCCAGTTCATCATGTCGTCCAAGACCATCCATGGTAACTCACAATTCCAGAAGGCTGAATCTAAACGTTGGACATGGGAGTCTCCTGGTGGACGGTTCCACAACAAAATTGACCACATCATATTCAATCAACAGTTTTGCCTGACTGATGTCACTGTTGTCCTAAAATTCTAAAGGGGGTAGGAGCCACTGTCTCCTTCAGGCAAAATTCTACTTCACAGAGTGGGGAGAAAGGGCTGCAAAGTTTAAGAAGAGAACTCCCAGAACGACCACCAACTGGGAGCTCTTTGGCATTATTGCATCAACATGGGAAGATGCCATCATTGACAACGTTGACGAGGAATATGATCAACTGGTTCAGCACCTCCATGATTGTGTAAAGAAGGCCAAGAGACAGATAGCCACAAAAAGATGCCTGTCTTTGAAAACTCTCAAGATCATTTGTCAATGTGGCTTGGCGCAAGCCTCAGGCAACTGCAAGCAAACGTCCAAGCTCGCAAAGCAGTGCAGAGAAGCGATCAAGGAAGGCCTCAAGGAGAAAAGACCAGCAATGCTGGCAGATTAGGCAGAAGCTGGGAAAAGCATTCACAATGCCCGCCTGTCCATCGCCAACTACAAGACCAAGATGACTCCCCTTAGACGTCCTGATGGATCTATCACATCTTCCAGAAGGGCAATGAAGAAGATTATCCATGACTTCTACTTGGATCTCTTCAATAGCCATGTACACCTGACCACATACCAAATTCTGCAGGATGGATATGTTGTTCCCAAAGTTCTCCCTTCCAAAACACGAGAAGCCATTTCAACAGTAAAGAAGCAAACAGCACCCGGCCCAGTAAAAGTCAGACCTGAACACCTGAAGAATCTGCTGTCAGTACTTATCAATACAATGGCTTGGCTCTTCATACGCTACCTGTCTGAATGCAAGGTTCTGTACCAATGGAAAAACAGCAGGACTGTACTATTGTACAAGAAGGAAGGCATCCACGATATTGACAACCATCGCCTGATCTGCCTGTTGTCTGTCGTCTATAAGCTATTCACACGAGTCATCCTGAATAGGATTGGCAGAACATTAGATGAAGGACAACCATGTGAGCAAGTCGGGTTCTGAAAAAGATTCAGCATGATCGACCATACCCACACAATAACCAAGCTCACTGAGGTTTCTCGGGAGTTCAAGATGCCACTCTGTCTAGCATTCATTGATTTAAAGAAGGCCTTTGATTCTTTTGAGACGGAAGTGATCATCAAAGTCCTAGCCAAACAGGGTGTTCAAAGTCAATACATCAGGATCCTCCATGAGCTGTTTTATGGATTCACTACCAGGATCTCATCATTCTACAAGAAAGTTATCATCCATGTCAAGAGAAGGGTTCGGCAGGGTGATATCATTTCACAGAAACTCTTCAGTGTCATGCTCAAGAACATCATGCAACGACTGGAATGGGAAGGAATGGGAGTGAAGATAGACGGCCGGCATCTATACCACCTCCGCTTTGCTGATGACATCGTTCTTATAACACCAAACATTAGGCAAGCAGCACAAATGCTGGCCAACTTCAACCATGAGTGTGGAAAGGTCGGACTATAGCTGAATCTCATGAAGACAATGTTTATGAGAAATGGACTCGTTCCTGATATTCCATTTGCTCTCAACGAAATGAACATCTCCAAATGCAGCATTTATGTGTTCCTAGGTCGAGAAGTAAACATGATGAATGACCTGGCACCTGAGTTGTGCAGGAGGAAGAGAGCGACTTGGAACGCCTTCAAGAGCTTCAAGGAAATAGCTAAGAGGATGAAGAAACTCTGACTCTGGGCACATCTCTTTGATTCCACTGTTCGTCCTGCATTAACATATGCCTCAGAGACCTGGGCCCTATGAAATCAGGATGAGAATGCTATTTGGGTCTCCCAAAGAGGAATCAAAAGAGCTATGCTTGGACTATCATGCTTCACTGAAGTGAGAGAAAGAATCTGGAGTTCCGACCTCTGTCAATGATTGAGAATCAGGGACACTGTCTCATTTGCCAAGGCGTCAAAAATCAGATGGGCTGGACATGTAATGAGATTTGGAAATGACTACTGGACTAGAGCAATTAATGACTGGATTCCATGGGACGTCAAAAAATCGCCTGGCCACCCACCTATGAGATGGTAGACTTCTTTGTCAAGACCCTGGATGATCGGTTTGAGGCTGTTTGTGTTCCTAGAAAGAGCAGACGCCATTGGGCTACATTAGCACGTGACAGGGGCGAATGGAGACATTGGTGGTGCCCGCTTGAGCAAATCGATGAGTAACAGGATGTCAAGTGATCAAGTGATTTGAAGCTGAAGTTTTGGTCTAAAACCACTTACTCTAGAATTTTTTCTTTGGTTCAACATAATTTATGTTTTATGTTAAAATGTATAGAGTTCTTTCCAAAGTATTTGCTAGAAAGGGGGCAAATGGGTGATATTACATACAAGGAGAGACCAGTTGGCCCAGGAGTGCAAGACAAGGAGAAATATAAAGGCTTCTAGACACCCTTTCCCCTTAGCTTAAAAGTCACCAAGTTACTCTAGTAATTTCTAATGGGAAAATAAAACCGGTTTCAGATGTGTTTTCTAAGAATCAGTTATGCCAAAATATAAGGAGTACCATACCATACAAGAAATGTTTATGCATTCTTCTTAATTCTTTTACTGGAAAAGTCCATTTACTAATAATTCATTTTCCCGGAGATGGAGAAGATAAAAGATTTTCTTCTTTTCTTTCCTACATCTTGAGGTGACCAGAGAAAGTTTCAGAATACAGATCAATAAATATGCCATGAAAAAATTTAATTTACCTTTTAAAAATTAACAAGTTTTGTTCCATCTATTTATTGTCCCAATTTCCAAAATTTGCTGTAAGTTCTGAAATTATGCTCCCCCCCCAATTTTCTACACAGAAAAATCCTGGTTTTCAATAGCTGTTTTGAAGACATTATGTTACTCTTAGAAGAACACATATAATGGGGTGAAATTGAATGCATTTTTAGAGAAAGAATATTTTAGGTGGGAGTAAATACGGGCATATTTATAGGCAGATCTTTCTGCCATTATTCAGTATCTGATCAGTTGTGTTCATTGCATTTCAGACCTATGACACCTTCCTCACTGTGGAGAGATATGAGGCCCCTTCAGCAGCCTGGCAGGTAGTGCATAATGATGCCTCGTGGGAAACTCGGTGAGTGCATCTACGGAGCATTCTCTTATTCAAGCCTTGGCAACAGTTGGTTACATAGGGAAGATAAATGGGAAGACTGGCTCAATACCCACTATTACTAATTTTAAACTCCCAAAGAGCCTTCTGGCCATATTTCTATTTAGTTGATATGTTAGACTATTATTTGTTTCTGTTTTATTACCAAATATTGTAGTATAGTGACTGTAAGTGTAAATACTAGTGAAGGCATGACCTCCTTTCATATAAACATGTGAGTTTTGTTTCATTCTCATGGTCACAGACAGTACCAAAATGCTTACTTGCTTTTTGTGAATTGATTGAAATGGGCTCTGGATGCAGTTGTCCAGATGGCTGACCTTCATTTGGGGGAAATGGCCAGTCTATCCTCAATATGTTTTGCCTGTTTTTGTTTGTTTGTTTGTTTGGTTTTTGGTTTTTGTTGAGGGTTACACCCAGCGGTGCTCAGGACTTAATCCTAGCTCTGCACTAGTTATCACTCCTGGTGAAGCTCGGGGTACTCTATGGAGTGCTGGGGCTTGAACCTGGGTGGGTCACCAAGTTACCTACCAAATGTACTATCACTGTGACCTCATTGGTTTTGGGTTTTTGTATCACAGACATTGATGCTCTGGGTGGGCTATTCCTGGCTTCAGGCCTACTCCTGATTCTGGGCACATTCCAGTGTGCCAGGGGCCATTTGATGCTGAGAATGGAACTGGAAATCAGTAGTATGTAAGGCAAGTGCCTTACTCCCTAAACTATATCTCTGGCTGTTTTGCACATTTTGACTCTTCGTTTGAATTCACAGAACACAAAAGACAAGGAATTTGAACTTTTAACTCTTACTTTTACTCTTTCATAAGCAAGGAGGTAAAGGTAAAGGTAAAGGTAAAGGCCCTCCCGTTGATCGTCGATTTGCTCGAGCGGGCCCAGTAACGTCTCCATTGGAGACTTTGTTGTTACTGTGTCTGGCATATCGAATACTCTCGGTAGCTTGCCGGGCTCTCTGAGAGGGGCGGAGCAATCGAACTCGGGTCGGCCATATTGGCCGCTTGGAAGGCCAACGCCCTACCCGTGCTATAAGGCTCATTTAATTCTCATAGAGAGGAAGCTCTGTGATTTTTTTCTACTCAAATAACTAAAAATGATAGATATTTTAAAAACTTAAATATCTGAAATTTTTAAAAATTCCATTCCTATCTATAAATTTCATTCTATAGAATAAGGGCATGGATATGAGCAAAAATTTTTGAAATTTTTATCTAATTTAGAACATCATAAATTAGATAGGTTTTTGTATGTTGGTTTGGTTTACATGATGAACTGAAAATAGAGATTTGACCTTGTTGTGATTTATTTGGTAGTCATATGAAAATCTGGGCAGAATTTTGCCCCTGATATTTAGGATACTTCAGGATACAAATTGTTTTATTTAAATACTTAATATTCTAAGTTTAAAATTCTGAAGATGTATTAGCACTTAGGTGCTACAATACTATTAAAGTTTATGTTATCAGTATGGAAAATTATTGCACTCTTCCTCCACCAAGGTGCTCAAACCCTCCACCTCCATCTCTATATCACATCTAGGCAGGTCTCCTCCCAAATCCCCCTGCATCCCCCACCCCACCCCATACACACAAAATACAGGGTTGTTTGTTTTACATCCTAGTGCCAAGTGTTTGTAATTGTTTGGTATTGTCAATTATTTTGCTGTGTCACTCTCTATACTACAGATGAGTGAGATCATCTGATATTTATCTTTCTCTGATTTATTTCACTTCACATGATACCCTCCAGTTCCATCTGTGTTGCTTCATGTGTTTATCTTTTCTTATAGCGTCATAGGATTAAAATCTGTATATGGCATTAGGTTAGTTTTTAAAGTACATTTATATTGTTCAAATAATACTGTATAGATAATAAAAATGGTGATTTATTTAGAGAACCCCCCCAAGGAGAATAAGCGTAAACACTGAATCTGTATTTAGACCTCTCTATTGTACATCAGCAATAATGTTAGCAACTATTTGTGGGGATCACGGGGTCTATCAGTAAGAAACAGAATGTTGAGTACATCCACTGTGTCAGGGGATTTACTTAACTGAGAGTATCAGTGAGTTAGCTTGTTATGTTTCACTTTATTTAAAAGAGTCCCTAAACTCCCTGTCATAGTCTATAATGACTAGATGGATCTGCCTCCATCTTTCTCTTATCCTATTCATTCTTGCATAGCATACTGCCCTAATCCTATTGACTGTATTCTCTACTTGAACTTGCACATTTTCAGACGCTTTGCATTTTTTTAGTTTTTTTTTTTTCCTGGACTGTTCTTCCTCTGTCTGAGTTCAGTTTGAATGACATCTCTTTAAAGAGGCTTTTGTATCACTTTCTATTTTTTTCATTTTTTGGTTTTTGGGTCACACTGGTGATGATCAGGGGTTACTCCTGGTTCTGCACTCAGCAATTACTCCTGGCGATGCTGCAAGATCTTATGATATGCTGGATATTGAACCGGGACTAACCTCATGCAAAGCAAATGCCCTACTCACTGTACTATCAATTCCAGTCTTGTGTCACTTTCTCCATGCCAGTTAATCACTTTAAAAAATGTTTCTTGTGCCAGAGAGATAGTACAGAGGGTGGGTTGGGTGCTTTCCTTTCATGCAGCATAGTCCAGTTTGGCCTGTGGTACCATGTACTTTCCCTGAACACCATCAGAAGTTATTCTGCATTTTAATTTCTACCAGGCAAAACATTTTGAAATCAGTAGTTTATTCATCCCTCAAATAATTTGAAAGGTAGTTCAAAAAACGATAATTATACCGATGATTGTTTTGTTTTCTCCTTCACTAACCCTGTCCCTAGCTCCAATGGCTTTTTTCCTTTAAAAATTATTATTTACTGAGATAATCTGTTAAAATTGTGTTAATGTTTATGTTTTTGCTATATAAAATTTCTACACCTTCACCACCACTAAAGTGCCAAAAGTGCCTTCAATGTTCTCTGATGCTGCTTTTAGTTCTCAGTTGCTTTTTCTTAAAGAACCTCTTTGAGAAAGTAAATATTAACCTCTGTTTCTCTGAAGTATTTTTAAGTGTGTGCAATTTGATTGTTGTGTTAGCAGCTCTTTACCTTATGATGTTGAAAGTATAGTTTTCCTCAATGTGAAACCATGGAAATGTTCCTAAAAGTTGCTAAAGATGTGCAAACAATGCTTAACTAGTTTACTTACATAAAAAATCAAATGTTAGCACAGAAACCTTTTAAGAGATTATTTAGCTTGATTACAACTACAGATGGGAAAAACTGAAGTTTTGTGGATTTAAATGAGCCTGGATGTATTTTTTTCTATCCACAGTTTCTATTGGCACAAGGGACTCGCAGGTCATAGCAATGCAACAATACAGTGGCATATTCCAGACGCTGCCCAGACTGGAACATACCGAATACGATACTTTGGACACTCTCGGAAACAGGGATTTCTCAAGCCGACATTGCTTCCATTTGAAGGCACTTCTTCCAGTTTCGAAGTTGTTTGATGTGATGAAAAGTTGAACAATCATTTGAAGAATATATACAATTATACTATATATAATTTATGTAATTAAATTTATGTAAATGTAAATTATTATGTTAAATATTATAATTGTCCCTGTACGGGGACAGATTATTTAGTGCTAATGGAAAATGTTTCTCTGTGTGTGTGTGTGTGTTTGTGTGTGTGTGTGTGATCATAAGGTATGTGTATTTTCCATTTGATTGTTGTGCTAGCAGCTTCTTACCTTGGGATCCATAATCTTATGATGTTGAAAGGAATAATTTCCCTCAATCTAAAATCACCGAAATGTTTGTAAAAGTTGCTAAAGATATGCAAACAATGTTTAACTAGTTTATTTGCAAAATAATTAAATGATAGCACAGAAACCTTTTAAGAGATTATTTAGCTTGATTACAACTACAGATGGGAAAAAACTAAAGTTTTGTGGATTTAAACAAGCCTGAGTCTACAAGACCTTCCCCCATTGCCACATTTAAAAAGTATTACTTAAAAAACATTGATTAGGGACTGGAGCAATAGCACAGCGGGTAAGCACGTGGCCAACCCGAGTTCAATTCCCAGCATCCCATATGGTCCCCTGAGCACCCACCACCAGGAGTAATTCCTGAGTGCAGAGTCAGGAGTAACTCCTGTGCATTGCCAGGTGTGACCCAAAAAAGCAATATATATATATATATATATATATATATATATATATATATTATCCTGAGTATATAAAACCTTTCCCCATTGCCACATTTAGAAAGTACTATTTAAATATACTATACTATTTAAGTATATTGGCCAGGAATGTGTAAGCCCAATTAGAGAAAAAGAGCATGTTAATCATCTGCATTGAGCATAGTTTTTTAAAGGTAGTTACCCTGGACTTGATATGAATCCAGAGTTGTTAATGCTCCAAACATTTATGGAATTACTTTCAGAGCTCTATTCTGAGAATGTCAGACTTGTAACATTTTAGTCATGCCTTGTATTTTCCTAAGTGCCCTTTGCCATGGAATTATATCTTTTATTCCTAAGATCTAATCTATGTAATTTTTGACTGCGCCAATTATGTTCACTACCAAGTGACAAAGCTTTGCCATTAGTATAGGTATTAGAATGGCAGTAGATTTGGAGAGTGTCTTCAAAGATAACATTCTAAATCCATCATTCAATTATTTTTATCACTCACACGTTTTTATCATGACCCGTTGAATCAAAGAATACTTAATATAGTCTCATATAGTGTAGCAATTAGTGAGATATTTGAGGTGAAAGTATCAATTTTTAAAGATTATTATTTTGAATGAGAAAACAGTCAATTCAATGTATAAATCCTGGTAAGGCCATTCAAAATCAATCATCGTTAAGTCACTTGTCTATGTCTATGTTGGGTATTTTCATTTGGGGTTGAGAGGCACTAGTCAACTTGGAAAAGCTATCTTGAAAATTATTTTATGGTCCTGTGGACTATTCATCTGAGACATGTAATCTGACATAGGTTGCCTGAAATTACTAATTGCATTTGAAATTGTTCAAATTAATTTGGAACTCCCAGGCTGCAAAGTAAATTTCTGAAAGGTAAGGCATGCTTTTGTTTGTGTGTAAAAGCTTTTAGCATTTTAAAAGAAATGCAGCTTTATTTCCAAAACAAGCTTCAGCTTTTTAAAATTATGGCAGTATTAGTAACAAAACCAACCTCCATATATGTGTGGCTTAACCATTTGAGCATGCTATATTGCATTAAAAAGAATCTGGAACACTTCTAACAAGTGTTCTAACAAGTTGAAAGACATTTTTTTTGCCTTTTGCTCAGGAGTGATCCCTAGCAATTCTCAGGTGATTATGTTCTGTGCTGGGGATCAAACCAGGGTTGACTACTTGCAAGGCAAGCATTAAACCCTGGTACCACTTCTCCGACCTCAAATCTGAATTTTAAAAAGTTGCCTATTGATCACTATATCCTGAAGATACCTCATAATTTAGTGGAAAGCTTTGGAGGCTAAAAAGTGTAAGTGATTCTGAAAATTGTTGATCCCAGATAGGTAAATTAGATTAGAACTGATAAGATTTTTAAAGCATTTTTCTTGACACCAGAAGAGTTTATAAGTTATTTTCTACCATGTCCAGTCTTCCCATTGAACTTTCCTCAGTCAGCATGTGATTTCCTATTACTTACATGTAACCATGCCAAGGTATCAGCTATATTGCACACCACTGCTAATCCTTCTGTAACCAGTCCTCTGTCTACCTGTATTTTTGGCCCTGAGTAAGCCACAGAAAACTGTTTTCTCACTAGCTTCCAACTTCCAATCCATGCAGATCTCTTTCTGGCAGTTTGATTAAAGATCACTGCAAAAAAAGAGGGATACTCTAAATCTTCATGAATTCAGAATATTATGAACAATTTTTAACTAATATATATGATGGTGATTTAATTAAAAAAATAAATCTCAAACACCCAAAGTCATTTTTACCATAATTCCTCCAGAAACCTTTTATAATTGGGCCAAATTCATGTTCTACTTGCCATGCACACATGCACACACAATTACCTTTTTAACTAATATTCTTTTTTTGGGTGGTGGGCTACTGTGTTCAGGGATGACTCCTAGCTGTGTGCTCAGGAATCATCCCTGGTGGTACTGAGAGAATATATGGAGTGTGCATAATTAAACCTGAGTTGGCAGAGAACAAGGCAAGTATTACCTGCTGTACTATCTCTCTAGCTCAGATATTTCCCAAATTCATTGCTCGAGCGGGCCCAGTAACGTCTCCATTGTAAGACTTCTTGTTACTGTGTTTGGCATACTGAATACTTTAGGTAGCTTGCCAGGCTCTCAGGCTCCCCAGATTCATAATATTCATAATATTCTATCTCTTTTGTTCATAAAAGCACACAAATCTTTTTTAATGGTTACTTGTGGGAATGGCTCATTGGAGCCAAATTTCTGAAACTGAAAGAGATTATGGAAGATTGGGTACTGTGTTTGAGGGAGAAGTTTGGTCAAGATTTTTTTCTCATAACAAATTATTATTATTTTTATTATCTGCATATGCTGAATTTAAGGATCCTATGACTTCTTAAAAAAGAACTGAATGATACCTCTGTATTTTACAATGAGTATTATGTAAATTGTCACCAGTCAATGGAATACTTAATAATACATAAATTTGAGAAAGTAGTTTTGAATGAATTGTATTTTCTAATTAACTTGGTCTCATGTAGAAAATCAATACATTTTAAAAAATGGGATCATCAGATAGAATAATCCTTACCTGTTCTCTATTCAGAGGGCAGATAGAACATGATGATTGGAGTTTGCATGATTCATGATTAACATCTCCGTGTGATTAGGGCTCACATCACCCTAATCACTCCTGATTCTTCCTGGAGTGGAATAAGTGATTGTGGATTTTATGTAAGTCATTTGCAAAGAAATGTATATGACCACTGTGAATACAACCTATACATAGGGGAAACACTTCAATTCTTTTTTCCCCTTCAAAGATTTAATGAGGGCGAAATATAGTAGTTGGTCTTTTTACTACTAGGGTAAGTGAGCATTTCCAAGACAGGTAGTTATTAAATTGCTTTGTGAGTTAATTCTAATGAAGGTGTAAAAAATAAATATACTTATGAATATTCTTTCCCTGTGTATCCTGTTATGCTTCTCAAGTGTAATAGGCATTTTCCTTTTATAGCACTTGTACATGCACTCCATCTATAGCTAAAAGATCTGATTTTGCCCTTAGATAATCCCTTTATGTCTTGAGTTCTTCCAGATAAAGTCACTGATTCCTGGATACCAGTTTGACCTGCTTGTTTGTCAAGGCATTTGGAACTTATGGTACGCATGGCAGAGAGGGATAAATTTAAGTTACCTCACATAACTGGTCTTAATATATTCATATGTAAGTTAAAAGTTCCTGAGCATAGAAGTACCACACTTTAAAGAAATTTACAGTCTCACTTGGCAATAAGTCTTAAGGTGACAAGGTTGTGTTTAGTGCAATTACTCAGTGATGTCATTGAATGTAAATAAATATATATTCACTTTTTTCTAATTCTAGGCTTATCCCCTTGAGGGATAAGATTGTTGAGAAGCTGATACTAGATTCTTCATACAATTGCACTCAGCAGCAAAAGGGAAAGGACAGTTGTCCACATCATCACACATCACAGTGAATGTGCCACACATCACAGTGAATGTGCCAGCCAAAATGGGCTAGTTATGCTGCCACTTCACACACATGATGTGTTTCCTGATCACAACACATATCCATTAGGGACGTGATCATGATCATCCTGTTGTTCGTCGATTGCCTCGAGCAGGCACCAGTAACGTCTCCTTCTTCCTAGCCCTGAGATTTTAAAAGAGCCATATTCAATGCTCTTCAAGGCAAACTTCCTGTGTGTACTCAATACCCAAATACCAGTAACAATAGGTCTCATCCATTAGGGTCAGGCTGGAGAATTTGTTTCACTTCTCACTCACTGAACTCAGCCTGACAGAGAATTCCACTCATGTTAGTTTTCTAGTTTCCTTAAGAAATGTCTAAACTGATCGACCACCGTCCAGATTGCATGACCTGCTCTCCCGGAAGGGAGCATAACATGATGCTTTCCATAGACAGGCCACCGGACCTCGTGCCACTCAGGGCACCACAGAGGGGAGTGGGTGAGAGCCCTCCCTGCCCCAAGGGACCCAGCCCAAGCAGCTGAAAAACTCCAGAACCCAACCACCACCATGCCTAAGACTGCTCGACACACGCTCAGGCTGAGCCTCATGTATGAGTGAACTTATTCCTGGTCTGTGCAGCTGCAAATGCAGTCGCATGACACATCATAAGACGCACCCTACCCACACTCCAAGAGTACTGTACCACATTTGATGGGGTTCAAATAGTAGGCAACCAATCATAGAGGGATATACATATATAATTGTTTATATATATATATTTACAGGTAAATATATATATTTACAGATATATATGAAAGATCATAAGGCTCAACCTTTAACAACATATTAGTGAGATCTTATAGAAAGTCTTAATGGCCCCTGTCAAAATAGAACAACCTTCACACTCTTTCCTCTATAGATACTTTTTTGTAGCATTTTCAGCGGTTTTTTCATAACAAACAATACAAAATATATTATTTCAGTTCTGCTTCGGGACAGGGATTAGGGTTTGGAATGGAAACATCCTAAATAATGGTGGTGGGAAGGTGTAATGGTGGTGGGGTGGGTGTTTGAATATTAAATGTAATCAAATATTGTGAAATATAAAATAAAAAATTAAATTAAATAAAAAATAAAAAAATTAAAGAACAAAAAAATGCCTAAACTGAGGTGAAAGATACAGTTTAGGAGATGGGCACTTTGCACATTGCAGACCAAGGTTCAATCCTCAGCACCCCACATGGCCCTTTGAGCTTGCCAGAAATGATACCTGAGCTCAGAGCCAAGAATAAGCAGTGAGCACTAAATCCTGAAAACTTCTGGGTGTGGTCTCCCTCCCAACCCCCCCAAAATTCTTTTTATTCTTTTTTCCCAAAAAATTCTTTAAGCTAAGACCTAAAGAATATTGTCTATGGGGTTGGAGAGATGGTGTAGCAGGTAAGATGCTTGCCTTGTACTCTGCCAACTCAGATATGATCATGCACGCTCCATATATTCCCTCAGTATCACCTGCAATGATCCCTGAGTACAAAGCTAAGAGTCATTCCTGAACATACCTGGGTGTGCCCCCACCCCCGAAGAATATTAGGAGAAAGGAAACTGCATGCTGTTTCCCAGGTTCTCCTTAGAAGCTGTGTGACAGACATGATGAAAGGAACTCAAGTGGCTCAGCTAGAGCAAGGAGGTAAAAGTCACATGCTAAAATTGGAAATAATATGTTCTAAAATGCACGCATCCCTGCTAGTCCCCAAAAGTCAATCCATCTCTTAGTCACTTGATCTTTTATGGTTAACTGAAGGGAAAGTCAACTTCCACCTCATTTTTTCGTCAAAAAAATTAGTAGAGCCACTGATAAGCATCTGCAATGCCCGCCTGCCTTTGCCAACTACAAGAATAAGATGACTGCCCTCCGACGTCCTGATGGATCTATCACATTTTCCAGAAGGGCAATGGAGAAGATCATCCATGACTTCTACTCGGATCTCTTAGATAGCCATGTCCACCTGCCCACATACCAAATTTTGCAGGATGGATATGTCATTCCCACTGTTCTCCCTTCTTGAACAGCACCTGACCCAGACAAGGTCAGACCCGAACACCTGAAGAATCTGCCATCAGAACTCATCAATACACTGGCTCGGCTCTTCACATGCTACCTGTCTGAATGCAAGGTTCTGTCCCAGTGGAAAACCAGCAGGACTGTACTATTGTACAAGAAGGGAAATATCCACGACATTGGCAACCATCACCTGATCTGCCTGTTATCTGTCGTCTACAAGCTGTTCTCTCGAGTCATCCTGAATAGGATTGACAGAATCCAACACTAGATGAAGGATAGCCATGCAGCAAGCTGGGTTCTGAAAAGGATTCAGCATGATCGACCATAACCATACGATAACCAACCTCATTGAGGTTTCTTGGGAGATCAAGATGCTGCTCTGTCTAACGTTCATTGATTTATAGGCTTTTGATTCTGTTGAGACTGAAGTGGTCATCGAAGCCCTAGAAAAGCAGGGCATTCAAACTCAATACATCAGGATCCTCCGTGAGCTGTATTATGGATTCACTACCAGGATCTCACCATTCTACAAGAAAGTGACCATCAATCTCAAGAGAGGGGTTCGGCAGGGTGATACCATTTCACCGAAACTCTTCAGTGCCATGCTCGAGAACATCACGAAACAATGGAATGGGAAGGAATGGGAGTGAAGATAGATGGCCGGCAACTACACCACCTCCGCTTTGCTGATGACATCGTTCTTATAACACCAAACATTAGGCAAGCAGCACAAATGCTGGCCAACTTCGACCATGAATGTGGAAAGGTTGGACTACAGCTGAATCTCATGAAGACAATGTTTATGAGGAATGGACTCGTTCCTGACATTCCATTTGCTCTCAACGAAATGAACATCTCCGAATGCAAGTTATATGTCCCTAGGTCGAGAAGTAAACATGACGAATGACCTGGCACCTGAGTTGTGCAGGAGGAAGAGAGTGGCTTTGAACGCCTTCAAGAGCTTCGAAGAAATAGTTAAGAGGACGAAGAACCTTCGACTCAGGCACATCTCTTCGATTCCACTCTTCTTCCTACATTAACATACACCTCAGAGACCTGGGGCCTATGAAAACAGGATGAGAATGCTATTCGGGTCTCCCAAAGAGGAATCGAAGAGCTATGCTTGGAGTATCACGCTTCACTCAAGTGAGAGAAAGAATCCGGAGTTCCAACCTCCATCGATGATCGAGAATCAGGGACACTGTCTCATTTGCCAAGGCATCAAAAATCAGATGGGCTAGACACGTAATGAGATTTGGAGATGGCTGCTGGACTAGAGCCATTACTGACTGGATTCCACGGGACGCCAAAAGATAGTGTGACCACCCACCTATGAGATTGTCAGACTTTTCATCAAGACCCTAAATGATCGGTTTGAGACTCTTCGTGTTCCTGGAGTGAGCAGACACCATTGGGTTACTGTAGCCCGCTGATGTACCAAAAGTAGCACACATTTGTTTGGTTTTAATATACATGCTTGTAATCTCATGTGTAATGGCTTAAAAGGCTCTAGAATGCAATACAACAATCTTCACACACTCTTCTTATGGTGGAAGGAAGGTGCATGTTGGTGGGATTGGTGTTTGAATAGTATCTGTTATGAACTATTGTGAACAACTTTGTAAAAAATAAAAATATAAAAAATATATAAAAAAGAAAAATCATGAGACAAAAATCTCTGTGTAAAACATAAAAAACTTCCAGGTTTTCACTTCCATTTGCTCTTTTAATCCTCGGCTCCAAATGAGGGCCCTTTTGCTTAATTATGTGAACGTAGTCCTTGGATTTTAGTAGTCTGCCTCTTAGTCCTAGGGAACGAAGACAAAGGGCAATGCAGCAGTTTGAGTCAAGAGTACTAGGTTGTTGTCCTGGTGCTGTTTTAAACCATCTGGCAATTTTGGAAGCTTCTTAACAACTGTGTCTAATAAAGATTCTGATATTGAAAGGCTCTGAGCTCTGTGGCAGGTATATAAGTAGATTTGGTGTCTTTGTTAACTCATCCCTATAGTGCTGCTCGGAGAAGTCTATTACAAAGAATCACTTAATCACTTAACTTCCCGTTAGTCGTTGATTTGCTTGAGTGGGCGCCAGTAACGTCTCCATTTGTCCCTGTCGCGTGCTAGTGTAGCCCAATGGCATCTGT